AATTGTCCACTTCTTTACCGTATTCCTAACCATAATGTTAGGGTATGGGATAGGGTTGAGGTTACACTAACCCTTACCCTAACACTAAAACAGCATTCTTTTAAGCAAAAAGATAGACCCCGCGTTTTACTGACACCCCAAAACAACTCACAGTAACAGCCTAATCATATGAGCCGGGCTGGCTAGCTTTGCCGAGGAGACTTTTATCCCGGAACGTCCATTTTTATTTTGAGATTGGAAGCAATGAGCATGAGCAGTGTGTTACCTGCTGTCATGTTTCTCGCTCGGTTTATTCTCCAGGCCGCCCGGCAAGCGTGATTACGTGACCGACCGGTTTTCATCCCGACTAATAGCCGAAATCCACTGAGGTCGCATTTTTTTCGATAATTTTTCGGCTTCTTGTCCATTGATGGAACTCGAAAAAAAAAATAAGACCTTTATCTCGCGTGCTTTTGCCTCCACGACCGACTATCAAGCAAAATACCATCTTCACATGAAGCACGCCACCTCGTTTGTTTACACTTTTGGTCCACCATTATGGCGGCTTGGCGACGGTTGCTAAGATTTTTGCCATTTGAGTAACAACGATGATCGTGTTTTAGAAACACCCATAGCTTGGCACATTCTGCCGGCAGAATTTCGAACAGAATACGCGACTTTTGAGGCGAGCATTCTGCCGGCAGAATCAACAATATCTTCACCGGTGAGGGTAAAAGGAGGAATGAGTTTGCAGAATAGCATGTGGCATGGCTTGCGGAATCACATAAATAATATAAAATATGGAAAATGGCGCAAAGAAATAAATTAAACTCAAAAGCATGCGCGCGTCTTTGCTGCGCCTTTTTTTGACGCGAATTTGAGTGAGCAACTGCTTTGCTGGTCCATTTAAACCAACAAGGCAGAGCAGAAAGTAGCGATAAGCTTTACTGCATTCGTGTCTATGTAATACTTAATTAATACTTAATTTATTTTTGGTGTTTTCGACAATACTTTCTCTCTTTCTGTCCACCGTTATGATATAATCAAATGTCAAACGCTAGACGGAAAGAATGCTTGTTGAACGTGAAGTTGGGCTAGATACAGTTCTAGGGATTGTTAATTAATACGGTGGACGAATCAGATCATATTTGAGACTATAAAACGAACACCCCGAGTCAAACATTAATCTGTAATTCAGAAGTTGAGTGAAGCCAGTTGCTCTGTCTCTCTGTCTCCTTTCGGCCTTTCCGCGTGTCTTCGCAGCTTCCTTGTTTAGGTGAGAGTGTGCGTTTGATCGTCAAAACGCTAAAACGGTAGGAAGGGGGAAAAAAAGAGAAAAAGACACACTCAGTTGCCAGGATTCGAAGTCGCCCTTCTCCACCAATTGTTAGCTTCGTGTGCCGGAAACGTAACCACGCAGCCAAGGAAACAAAATGCAAGATCCGTTTCATCTCTGAATATTATGTCACGATCACCTAACCCACCGCCTGAAAAAGAAACACTTCTCACTTGGTTTCAAATATAAATTTATTTATAGGTAAAAGGCATCCTCGGAGACCCAGAGGCAGATAGTGGGGGCGAGGGAAAGTCTAAACGGGCGGAAAAATATAGCACGAAGAAGAGTAAAGAACGGCGAGAAGAGCTCTTCTTTCATACACGAATCACGAAAGTGGTAAATTCCAAAGCTTTCAAGCGCAAACTGCCGGCAAGAATTTCGTGCAGAATAAGCGATTTTTGAGGCGAGCATTCTGCCGTAAGAATAAGGCATTTTCGAGCAGAATAATTCAGGCTAACGAAAAATTAGCTGCACTAATGAAATGCATAACAGTGGTAAGAAAAATTTGAAAATAAATAAAGAACAAATGGAAAATACCTGGTGATTAATTTGTTTAATACAATTTTGCTACGCATAATGAATATCCTTAATTATAGTTTTAAGGGTTAGGCCCTAGCTCCCTTCGATATTCGCTTCTATATATACCGAGCAGTATTCGAGCAGATTAAGGGTGCTCGAGCAGAATTTTGAGTAGAATAAGCGATTTTTACGAGCACTGCCGACAGGCAGAATAAGCCATTTTACAAGCAGAATTGATGCTACCCAACTCGTGGATGCGTTATTTGTTACATGTAAAGGCAATGGGGTCGTATTTTTAAACGGGAGAGCATTACTATAAGAGTTTAGATGTTTTCAAGGAAAAAAGCGGTGAATTTGTGAAAAACATTGAGATCGTTCGTTATCGCATGCCGTCTGTGATTCAAAAGTTACCACAAAATCAAACCTGTTTTAACATCTTGAGCGTTGGAAGTGGGACCGGAGAAGTGGACATGGAAATCTTGAAGATTATTAAAGAAGAGCTACAATGAACGCGTGGTCGCGACCAGATAAAGATCTATAACAGAGCGATCAAGCCAAATGAACGCGCTTGCGATCTTTACAAATCTTCTGTCAAAAGGGCCAACGACCTGCAGATAGATTTCGATGTTCTCTGTCAAATCTTTCAACAGTATAAAAAGCAAGGACCTGAGAATCGAGAAGAACGCACAAAGTTTGACATCATCCACTTGATGCAGAGTATTTACTTCTTGGACATCGAAGAATCTTTAAGTCATTGCATTGAGAACGAGCTCAATGCCAGTGGCAATTTATTTATTATGGTGGAGGGGCCGGACCTCAGCTTTTGGGTTCAATACAAGGAAGGCTTACCTGACCGGTATGGAAAACCTGGCGATAGCTTCAAAACTGTGGAGGTGGAGAAAATATTTAAGATTATTGGGGAAGCTGGATGGAGATATGATGTCCACAACCTAGAATATAAGAGAGATGTTACTGACGTCTTTGATGCAGAATCAACTGAAGGAAATCTGCTTCTTGACTTCCTGACACACATTAAGAATTTTTGTGAAACCGCAGATGAACAAGTGGTGGAAGAAAAACTGGCGCTGATTAAGGATCTCTCAACAGGGGCCGATTACATTTTGGAAACAAGATGGAATCTTTTTTCATTATCTATAAATAATGTTTTGATAGACTGGCATACTTCTCATTTTTAAGCTGCGAACTTTCCCGGAATGCAGTTCAGTCTATGTCCAGCCTCAGCTAGAAAATTAGACGTTATCTCGCATTTTATGTAGAAGCATTTTTGATGACGTTTCTAACAGCTTATTTTAGTTCAATGGACATAGGGATCGCATTTTCAATTCTTCTTTAAGATAGTGATTTTGTTTGTTTGTTGTTGTTGTTGTTGTTGTTAACTCATTTGTTTGATGACAAAGGTATTCTCTTGATTTTTATGTTCTGATCAAGGGCGGATATAGGGCTTGGCCCGGCCCCCACCCTTCCCCCTTTTGCAGTTTATTAAATATTTCAGCGTTACATGTTCAATATGGAATCCAGGTATTTGCTAAATTTAAGCGTCCAGAATGCACTAGATTGCATCTCAGAGAGCTTCAATCACAAAAATTTTCCCGGAGAAGCATGCGCCCGAAACTTCCTAGAAAAGTGCGCCGTTCGAAGTCCTGATGGGCGCTATCACGCCCATATTGCCACTGTATAATATATCTCCACAGGCCCCCTCTGTCACAGAATCCTCCGTCCGCCCCTGGCTTTAATTGTTCTTTGCTGTTTTGTCATTACGGTTAATTGGTCTTTGCTAAAACATCAAGATTTGGATACTGTCATTATTATAAAAGTGTCTACGTTCTAAGAACGTCTGCGTGGGAGGCTAACGTTGAACGTTCCTCCTAAGTTTTATAGGGCGTTTTCAGTCATGTGGCCAGCTAGGCTATGCAAATTTATGAGAACAAAAATATTTTACATAAGAAAAGAGTCCAACTTCCTCAGGATTTGTCTGTCCGTTTCATTGTTTTGGAACACCAATATGACCGCCGTGACGTCATGTGAACTAGGCGCTCTATAACCATTGTCCGAGTGGGTCTGAGTACCAATTCCTCCGTTGCTACTGGGAACATTGATATCATTAACCGCGTCGAATTCAGAACGACCGGTCGAGGGTTTGAACTCTGTTCTTTTTTGTTCATCAACATTGCTGAAACTTCTAACTAAAGGTAAGAAAAGCTTTTCAGTACATGAAATATTCATCTTTGGATGACTTAAGTGACGGTATGATCGACACAGCAGAATTTAGCCCACATTTAAAGGAGCTGTCAGCTGAGCTGTGTCGCGAAATTCAGCCAAATTAGTTATTACAAAACGCCCGTTAAATCCAAGAGAAGCATAAAAACAACCGCTTAAAACATTAAAGGAAGGTTAAAATATTATTTTATTATTATTATTTTATATTATCCGTGACATCTGTTGTATCTGTTGCGTTTAACACAACAGATACAACAGATGTCACGGATGGGCAAAAGTGACGAAGATTGAAAGGGATTGAAATTAAGGTTTTTGAAAACTGTTCAGCCTAACAGTTTTTCAAAGTTTATCTCTGCTCTTTGCAACTTCAAAAATAATGCTCAGGAGACATATTTAACTCTCTGACTTTGTCATTTACATGTAATTTCTTTGCTTACTTTAAGTTCCATAGCGATTGACGGCGAGTAATTGGAAAAATCAAACAAAATGGACTGGACTGCCGTGACACAGCCCCTTTTAATATGACAGCTCCCTGGCGGGCGATTTGTGCTTCCTTTCATTATTGTAGTTGTGCATTTAGACGGAGATTTATAGACTCGAGAGTACACTGTACTTTGAAGAGATCTTCTCATTCAATTGATCTTGAAATTCGAGTTTTGGTTTGAATGGTTACCAAGTCAATATATTCACTATTGTGTCGTGTGTGAAGTTTATTGTGTTTGTCTCAGGGCTAGGAATCATTGTTGTGTTCTTTGTGACGACTCTCGAGACTTTCTATTCACTGGGTATATAAGCACAACAGGAATTGACCGATGCATAATCTTGAAGAATAAAAAACTCAATGTCAGCAATATTAATTTGTGAAAATGATATGATTTGCATGTCACAAGCGTGGGCCAAAGAGAAAACCTAATTTGGTTTCAGTGCCATAAAATGTCAGTTAGGCATGCAGTCAAAAATTCACAGCTGCTTTGATTCTAGTGCTACAAAACCTGTTATTCTTATTCTCCTTCTTAACCCCTTAACTGCCTGTATGTCACCCTATTAACTGCAATTCGTCTGCCTGCATGACATACTCAGTACGTCAAATATTAGAGTGTAACAGTCAAATCCCTGGCACTGGAGATGTAATGTAACCTGGCCTCTCATACCCCAAAGAAGTCAGTAGACTGGTGACTACTAGTGCGTAGTCCCACATTTAGAAAAACCAATTTATAAATCAAACATAAACACTTCCGTGTGCCGTCTGCCATATTGCTTTCAAGAAGCACATTGTTGGAAGAGCAAAGTAAAATTCCTTTTCGATTTTGAATGTAGAGAGATAGGGAACTGCTCAAGATGTGTTAGATGAAGTATGGATTGATTCCGGAGAGGAAAATTTTTCTGATAGCGACAGCGATTTTAGTGATTTGAGGAGCAAATGAGGATGACGAAAGTATCGACTCTCATGATTTGGAGGTGTTTGCACAGGACTTCTTCATGGGGTTGGCAGCAAAGGAGTTAATAAAAGGTTTATTATATGAAAGGAAATAATATGCACACCTCACCAAATCTCAGAAACCATTGTGTCTAACAATCATAAGTAATCTTTTGTTCAGGAAAAAGCAACTTGGGGTCACCCTTTGCTTGTAAATCTATAAAGGAAAGAAATCACAAGGTACAGTTGCTGTTTAGAAACCTCCTCCAACATGCCAAACATAAAGCTCCAATACTAAGAAACACCATTGAAGAACAAATTTGCACACTTACAGTCAAACCAGGTCAAGCGTTCCCATCGCTAGCAAACTAATGAATTCATTAATGAAAAAATGATTTCGTTTGTTGATTCAATAATCCATTGATAAAATGAATAATCCAACAGTCAAATTGGACCTCGATTCAATAATTAAATGTTGATTTGGTTTATGGACAAAATCTACCTGTTCTTTATTCTTGTCTGTTGAGTTCAATCGTATTTGCTTCCCTTTTCCTGCCGTTTATGATTGCGGTTTTAATTGCCTTTAATCCAAATAACAGGTAGAAGAGACAGACCGCAAACGCAAAGAAACTGAAAAGGGCTGGGGATCGAAATCCACCAATCACCGCACATACAATGACCTCAGTTTGACTATCGTGTTTTCTAAGAGGTCAGGACCGTTGCACTGATTACTGGAAGCAAAACGGCGTACATGTAACAGTTTGTTTGGGTTTGAACTTCAGAAACTCGTCCGCACTCGACTCTTAGAAAAAAAGAAGAAAAAAATGTATAGTTTTACAAAAAACAGTAATCGAATCAACATTCGATTATGGAATCGAGGCTAAATATGAATATTAGATTGTTCATTTTATGAATGGATTATTGAATCAACAAACGAAATCATTTTCCCATTAATAAATTTATTAGTTTGTTAGCGAAAGGGACGCCTCACCTGGTTTGACTGTAAAAATATTATAATAAGCCTTATTCACTATAGATAAACAAGCAAGAAATCAAATGGTAAAATTATGCTCCTAAAAAAACAAAAATTGGTTTCAAGAAACAAAAACGAATCGACATATCATTGAGTCATCTCATAACTAATTTACTATAAAATGTAGAATGGATTCTGCTTTTTCACACTATTAGTCTCATTTCTGTAACCTTTTTAAGTTCAATGTCTTTCGATGTTACTGGTAACATTTCCCATTCAAATGCCAGCTGTGACTTGAAGTCACATGAAACTCCAAAAATAATACTATAAGGCAAAAAAGGAAACAAGATTCTCAAGTAATAGCAGAGTAATAGCAAATGTTTGTTAACTCAGCAGATTATTGATTTGATTTGAGTTATTGTTTTGTCACTTAACAGGTTGTAGATAAAAATAATAAATAAGAAAGATGGTAACTGGGAGGCCTGAACTGAAAGCCTAAGGCTTATATAGGATCCAGTTTCCCCACAGGCAGCCCAGATGTGGTGTGTGTCAATAACGTGGACAAAATGGGAGGAGTTGTCGAATCTCCCATGAACTAAAATAGTCCAGAAGTCATAGCCTGTGTACAGACGTCACCCCTCCCTCAGGAAAAATCGGGAGAGGAGACATCTGTGAATCGCCGTGGTTAATCGTGTTCCAGTATACATTTGCATAAATTATTATTTTGTTTTTTTGCCGACGGTTGAAAAGGTACATGTAGGTCGAAAAATAGCTCTGGCATCTGTGCACAGGCTAGCTGAACATCTTCACGCAATGTCCACCCAAAAATCCAGATATAAGATCTCTGATTACAGTCAAGCCAGGTCAAGCGTACCTCTCAAGATCCCATTAATGTATTTATTATTCGAAAGTTGAACTGTTGGTAGTTGTGGATTTCAGATTCAGCTCTGTGTGCATTCTTGCATGCGTAATGAGCCTTGAATTCACACGCGATTCAGTTACAAAATTTCTACCAGCTCAGTTTCCCTGAATTTGATGTAAATGTCTTCTAAGACATTTAATCCATTCAAAGATTTTCGATCTGACCAAATGCAGAGAAGTTCTCTTAAAATATTCATTGCCCGGGAATGACTAACGGATTCATTTATTCAAATAATCAATTCATTACTAGAATCTTTTTGGGGTAAGCTTGACCTGCCTTGGCTGTTAACGTTGGATTTTGTATGCCGTCTCTTTTATTTACAATACCGAGGAGCAAACATCAGTGGTAACTTCTCATGCCTTTTCGAGAGAGCCGAAATACAAATACCGGTAAACAAATATGAATGTGCACAAAGGCTGAGTTTTTCCCCGGGGAATCTATTCTGAGGTTCATTCACCAATCACAACACCGGAAATTATTTGCGTCATGGCATTAAAAATACAACCAATCAGAGGCTGTCCCCAACATTCCAGGGAAACGGGAACACGATTTTCGTCAGCGATTCACAGACATTTCCTCTCCTGATTTTTCCTGAGGAAGGGGGGAC